TAGAAGCATTTGCCGAAAAAACCGATGCCGGTAGCAACAAAAACTGCGGGGAACCATGCAAAAAACACATCTTCGCGCGGGAAGCCCGTGCGTTGGCCAATTATTCGAATTGCCAAATGTTTTTAGGCAGAAAAAGCTGTGGATGAAGCGGAGAAGGAATTCTCGGAAGTAAGCAAAGTGATCCGAGGTGAATATGAGACGGCACTGGTGGAGCGAAGGAAGGATCTGGACATGATGCTCTCGCAGTATTTGCGAGGCCTTCTAGAGACGCAGAAGCAACTTCTCAAGCACTGGGAGACGTTTGCGCCTGAAACGCAGTCTATTGAGATCAGCTGAAAACTGCAGGAAGTGTGCGTATGTTCATTTGTTATGCATCGGTTCATATGCTTCTACTTTCTTTTCTCATTGTATGTTGTACTCTTCCTGCGGCAGTAAAACAACATAACCGAATTTCTATAACAAAACTACAAATCGAAAAACAACTACAAACACTGGTAACTGGGTATAACTTCACCTGCAAAAAATGAAAGAAAAACACACCGTAGAAAAACTGAATGAGAAAAACACCTTCCAACTTCTACGTCGTCCAGTCCCGAGCATTTTAATTTCAACAAACTATAATGAGACGATGTATGGTATGCATTGGACAACAGCCAGCCAAGTGCAATCAGGCACGCCTAATAACAATGAGAAGGGCGAAATTAGTACTATCACATGCCCGCAAGATTCCCAGAACAATGCAGAAGTTGTTTCACTAACCGAAATAAGACAGCGGAATTCCAAGGGAAGAAGCATTTGCTGGACATCCTTAAACATGCGGTATCAAATGGCAATGAGAAACATTTCCCAGATCTCTAAGGGTGATGCGGTGTGGATGTATTAGCACACCGACACGTGGGACCAGTCTAACACTTTTGAAGGTCATTGCTCTGGTTTAAGAATACTGCAAACAGTGCATCTCCTGTGAAAATTCACCTGGAAAATTCAGCGACTTTCATAAGTTTGTGAGTAAAAACTCAAACAAAAGCGTCAAAAATCTACTGCTGTAATTGCAAATCCATTATTATTTATAAACGGTGTATCTGTGGAAATGGAGGATGACGGATGGATCCCCTCTCTCATCCTCACTGCAATCTCAAAATCGTTCTAATCAGCCACGGAAGGCGTAGAAGTTGGTGGAGATGCACATATTTAACCAAGCGAACTCAGGATTTAGCAAAAGAGCATATAAAACAATCGGGAAGTGTCAAGCTGCCTGAAAGATCCAAATGGTCCATAATTGTTAAATACAATGCCAAAACACAAAATGAGGCATCAACGTAGCTGAGGGCAAAGAGCGACTGTAAAAAAGGATATTTTTTCAGACATCGTTTTGTCATTTTGTGCTGCAGCTAAGTTGAAATGCGCCTCTACTTCCGAAAACTATTTACCAACTCATTCTCTTTTTATTATTTTTATTACTGGCATTACTATTATTATCATTATTATTATTGTTATTATTATTGCTGTTGTGTCATTATTATTATTGTTATTACACTTATTAGCGTTATTTATAAAAGCACGAAGCCATCTCCTCTAGGCCCCGAGCGCAGCGCTGCCATTCATTTGCTGAGAACTACGTAAGCTGCCACAACAATACTGCATCTACAAGAAGAACAGTGAAGACAACAACAACCGGATAGATCAAAAGACCACCGAGAGAGTTACGGATCACCGGCTACTGACTATCGGAAAAGCGTGCGCCTCGGTGTTGAAAACCCACTTATCCAGCGGCATCACAGTGTTATCCGAGAATGTGAGGTATAAATATTTGAACGTTTCAGCGAATAAAAAGCTCTGTTGCACGTCGTCATTTTCTACTGGTACCTTGTATACATCCCTGATACCCGCGTACCTGAAAAAAAAGAAAAACGTGACCGATATGAACTGTGTACACGAAAATAGAGGCACGTATATTGCATGAATCCGCACAAGCGCCAAGCACTAAAAATTGTGTAATATGCGAAATTCAAAGCAAACTGGTTAACGGCTTCGAAACGCCAAAAGTGACAAAACGTGCTGCGCTAAAAAAAAGGGGGGCAGGCCTCTGTGCTATTCTCTGCATGGAATAACACCGAGTATGTAGACTAAGACAATAATAGACTGATCAAGGGAGCTTTGATTATCATACTGCCAAATTTGATTGTCATATGTTAAACTGGCTGATGGTGATGAAGCAAATTAGCGAACGATGACTGGAGACAATATACCAATGAAGAATAGAATAAATGCGAGAAAATGCATTTTTTTTTTTCTGTGAGCACGGCGGGAAACTGTATCCTGTCGAGGAGTGTAAGATCTAGCCCCTCACTCCATCAAATCAGTCAAGGTATAATACTAAAAAAAAATTAATAATGAAAAAATGCGAAAAACCTACCCGCCTTCTACCCGGCAATATTTTTCAATAGCCTTGGCGGCCGTCCAACTCCACTG